GGCTCCACCTGGAGGCTGGTAACCCTACTTGGGGGTCCATTGTGGTCCAGTTACTGCACAGCCTCAGTTTTTCATTGTTCAGAAGGACCGTCACTTCTTCTCCGAGTCCACCTTCCGACCAACCATTTTGTTGAGCGCTCGCTTCATATCCTCGTTCCGCAGTGTGTAGATAATGGGGTTGAGCAACGGGGTCACAGCCGTGAAGAAGACCGACACCACCTTGTCTTCCTTGAAGCTGGTGGAGGGGCGGGAGTAAATGAAAATGCAGTGCCCCAGGAAGAGAGTCACCACGGTGAGGTGTGCCGCGCAGGTAGAAAGAGCCTTGCGCCGGCCTTCGGCAAAACGGTTGCGGAGGGAGACCAAGATGACACCGTATGAGACCACCAGCACCACAAAGCAGACCACGGAGATCAGCCCGGAGTTGGAAATGATAAGGACCTCGATGATGTAAGTGTCGGTGCACGCCAGCTTGATGACCGGAGGAACGTCGCAGAAGAAGTTGTCCACCTCCTGGGGGCCACAGTAGGGTAGCTTGATGGTCATGCCGATTAAGGCGAGGGAATGGACCGTACCCCCTAGCCAGATCGTTCCGGCCAACAGGAGGCAGACCTTGTGGCTCATGACGGTGAGGTAATGCATAGGATTGCAAATGGCCACATAGCGGTCGTAGGCCATGACGGTGAGTAGGAAGATTTCGGTGCAGGCAAAGAGGTGAAGGAAGAACATCTGGGCCACGCAGCCTCCAAAGGAGATGGTCTTCTCGGCGGAGAGAAAGTCGGCCAGCATCTTGGGCACGGTCACTGTGGAGTGACAGATGTCAATGAAAGAGAGATTGCTCAGGAAGAAGTACATGGGCGTGTGGAGGGCTTGGTCATGCACGATGGTGACCACGATGAGGAAGTTGCCGGCCAACGTCAGTGTGTAGAGCACCAGGAAGACCACAAAGAGAACCAGCTGCATCTCGGGGTCGTTAGAGAGGCCCACCAGGATGAATTCGGTCACCAAGGACTGGTTTTGTGCTGCTGCAGTCCAGTTTGGAGTCACTTTTTCTTCCATCTCCATTCTACAAGAAGAGCAAATGAATATTTATAATGGCCTTGAAGACTGCAAGGGGAAGATGAAAAATCTATACCTC